TGGGCAGCTCATCTATTACTGTGAACAAAGAAAGTAGGAAATACTCTTGAGGTTACACGTGGAGTGGGAGGTAGACTATTCTGACCCAGTAGTTACTAATTTCTGACACTCCAAGGTTGCTTAGTAGCAAGAAAGTTTGCTGACTGTGCCTGGGCTCTGGCTTGACTTCCCTTTTGCAGGGGTTAGCGACAAGGTTTTTGTAGTCCGAGTATGTCTGTGGCTGTTTCCTATCTTCACACTCCCACAACCCCCTACTGTTTTCCCAGGCCTTGAGTGATGTGTCTGGCCATGAGAATTCAGTCTATTCTAACTCCCATGTTTTCATACTGTAAAGGAGTAACATTGAGGCTTAGTGTTCGGCCCCTTGGATCACATGCTTTGAACTAGATAAAAATGTGAAGGAATAAGTTGAAGAAACTAGTACCTTTTCCTGTTGTTTCTTGAGAGCACAGTATATGTATGTCACCTGAAGGAAACTTGATCAGCTTATTCATCTTTGTCATTTTTTTCCTATTGTGACATCTGTTTTAGAGTTATGATGAAGGTCTATCCTCTTTTCCTATGAGACAAAGTATATGAAATAACACATAAATATATTTTTAAAATGATTCATCCTAACAGATGCTAAGAAGCCCTAAGCGAATTATTTCTTAAATACTCCCAGAACTTTGGAAGTGAATTCAAATTCCACTCTTTGGAACTTTCACTTATTTCTCCCCCTAGAAAGATCCTTATAGATAAGGAAGCTAGGGCTCAGAAAGGGAAAGGGAGTATCCTAAGATCACAATGAGTTAAGTGGCAAAGTAGAGAACAGAACTGAGGCTTGCCTGATTCCAAAGCCCTTACCGCTACATGGGACTCTCTCTGTCTAGTTTGGCTCTTCTCACTTCCATAATTGCTCTAGAACTTTAGCAGCAGGGTTAGGGGATCCTCTGACCCCTGGAGAGCTACATTCAGTTCTCATCTTAATCTCATCTAAAGTGCTCTAGTAGTAACCATAGCTATAGGCTGGTGAGTGACTAAACTTCCCTCCCATCCCTACTAGCCTAGCTTTCAGTGTCAGGCCTCTCCAAAGCAGTGTTTTGTAAACTTTTTTTAAACATGACTCATAGTTAAAAAAAAACACATTTTACATCATAACTCAGTGTATGCACATATACATACACACAGAAGTAAAACACAATTTCACAAAATTACTCTTACTACTTGTAATGTACTTGGTATTTTTTATTCTTTTTTTTTTTTAATACACTGATTAATCGTGATCCTCCAAGTGATTTCAAGGTCACTATTACTTACAGAAGGAACCCTGGTGGCACAGAGTGGTTAACAGGGCTTCGAGCCAGTTCTTTCTGGTTCAGTCATGGCCGAGGAAGTGAAACCAGAACAGACCTGAATTTTTACAATTTTGGTGATCTGGAAGGATAACCAGAACAGGAAAAATTATAGGTCGAAGCCCTGGAATGGGAGACTCGGAAGAAGCATAGTGAGCCCTTTCAGGAGCCTGATGCATGAGATTGGATTATTGGAAGGATTGTGGAAAGCTACACACATTCAAAGCACAGTGGTTGGCCGCCATCTTTGAGCATCTTTGACTCTGCTCAAAGTCCCTCTGGCAAGAGATTTGGTTGCTATGCAACGCGTATGTGCCCTTGTTTTCTAAGAGGGAGATTAGGTTTCTAGCAGGGTTTTGACTATAATTTTTCCCATTCCAGTTATCATTCCAGTTCACCTAAATTTTAAAAATTCAGGTCTGTTCCTGTTTTGTTTCCTCGGCCATGACTGAACCGGGAAGAACAGGTTTGAAGCCCTGATGGTTAAGCCCTCGGCTGCTAACTGAAAGGTTAGTGGTTCAAACCCACCAGCTGCTCTGTAGGAGAAAGATGTAGCAGTCTGCTTCGGTAAAAGATTACAGCCTTGGAAACTCTATGAGGCAGTTTTACTCTGTCCTGTAGGGTCACTATGAGTCGGAATTGACTCGATGGCAGTAGGTTTGGGTTTTTTTGTTTGTTTTTTTATTGCCTTACAGCCTGCGGTTTGGAAGACACTGCTGTAAAGTTTTGAGGATGAAGAACTAAAGAATTGTGAACAGTGGATAAAAGGCTAATTAACACTGACTCCTATAGTACTGGTTCCCAGAATTTTGGACTTTGTGGACTAATTGAAAATCTAAATTTTGGGTTTTTTATTTTTCCAAGTAAGGTTTAGAAAACTAACTACTACCTTTCAACACCATTATTTTAAAAACAAAACCCCCAAAAAAGTGACTTAGAAAACTATTCATTAAAATATATTCCCTGTTGGGAAAAAAAATTGTGTAGAATGAAAAAATTGGCATCTTTCACATACTGCCCTCCTCAATCCCACTCTCCTCAGAGCTAACCACTGTTAACAGGTAGATGTATATCCTCCATACCTTTTTCTGTGCAGAATTATGTTTTGCTTTACAGAAATACAATCTGACTGTGTGTTTTGTTCTGCAACTTTTTTTTAAACTTAAAGGTTTTTCCACGCACTATATACAAATTTACTTTATTCTTCCAAAGAGAATTGATGCTAAGAGAGCAAGAAATTAGAAATCACATAATAAAGGATACTGTTAAGCTGAATAAGTTTAGCTTTATGAAAAACTTGCTAATTTATTTTTATCACTTCATCATAGACAAGTGAAAACTTCATCACAAAATGACACGTTTTCTGTGGATACTTGGGACTTAGGGGCCTAGAGGCCTACAGAAAAACCAGTAGGATCAGAGTAATTTATCACAGTCCTCTGTCTTAACCTAGTCTACCTGGAGTTCTCACTTCTATCTTTAGTCCTCTGTTAACTTCCTGTTCATTCGCCCTTTTTTTCCCGTTTCTTACTCTGTACCTCTTTCATAAGTGGTTGCCTTAGGAATATATTGATAACAACTAATATTGAAATATACTTTAAGATAATTAATTGATATTTTCTGTGAACCAGTGCCACTAAATAATATCTACTGTGTATTTACACCTTGCTAAATCTTTCACTTTATCTTCATAGCTACTTTCTTTTTTTATTGTGTCTTAGGTGAAAGTTTACAGCTCACACTAATTTCTCATTAAAAAATTTGTACATGTATCATTTTGTGACATTGTTTGCAATCCCCAGAATATGACAGCGTGCTCCCCCTTTCTACCCTGGATTCCCTGTGTCCATTCGTCCAGTTCCTGTCCCTTTCTGCCTTCTCGTCCTGCTTTTGGACGGGAGCTGCCCATTTAGTCTCGTATATTTGAACTAAGAAGCACTTTCCTGGTGTATGTTATCTTTTGTTTTGTATTCCTGTCTAATCTTTGTCTGGGTAGTGGGCTTCGGGAATGGTTTCATTTCTGGGTTAGCAGAGTGTCGGGGACTCAGAGAGGCAAGAAATGTTCTTGATGTCGTATTAGTAATCAGTAGCTTAGTATTTATTGAACACTTACTTTATAGTAGATATGGTTTGAAGTTCTTTCCATTTATCAGCTCGTTTAATCTTTACAGGTACTCATAAGGTTATTATCCTCATTTTACAGATGAGGGAAACACAGGTTTAGTCACTTTCCCCAAGGTTACATAGGAAGTAAGTAGAAGAACCAGAAAACAAACCCAGAGAATTGGACTCCAGAGCCTGTGTTCCTTTGTATGCTTTTCTGTCTTTACTGTCTAGTAAGTAGGATTGCTGAGATTTTAACCTTGATTTGATTCCAAAGCCACTCACTATAATGGCAAAATAATGCTGTTGGTTTTTTGTTGTTTTTTTTTTTTTTTTTTTTGAGTAATGGAGTATGATGTCTGTGGAAGCACTAGGATCAACCTTAGAGAAAAGAAAGATGAATTTGAACAAGCAAAGTATAACTCAAGCAGTCCTTAGGTTTTGGAGAGAGGTTTTGCATGCTGTGATCATGCTACATCCTTGTTGGATCTCATAGCTCCTTACTTTCCCCTTAGTGTCATGATGATGCGATACACTCAGGTTTCAACTTCTCTCCCCCTCCCCACCAGCTTTCCAAGCCCTCTTGGAAGGTAGAGAAAGTTGATTCAGTTTATTCTTTCATCAAATATTTATTACTTGAAGACTTATCCCCTATACCATCCTCTGGAAACTCCTGCATGTGTTTGGAAGGTGCACCTTCTTTCTCTGTCTCTAATTTGGAGGGCTACAGCTGTTAGGCCTGTTTGGTGCAGAGGGTAATCTAATCCCTAGACACTAGGAAGACAGCTGCAAGTTAAGAGTAGGTCAAGCCTACTGACTTTCAGATCTGATAGACTTTTAGACTTGGAGAAGTGGCAGAAGCAAAGTGAAAAAGTTGATACTGAATGTGCCCTGTTGATCGTGTTCCCCTCCTTACCTTGTGCTTCAAGAGTTCAACCAGAAATGAGAATGAATAGGTTTTCTTACAAGAGGACCCTGGTTAGGTTTTCAGAAATGTCTTGTTGGGAAGACTGGTCATGTATGAAGGATACAGAGCCAGAAGCTACTCTTCTGCCTTTAGAAGGGGTGGCTCTTATCCCACATCCCTAGAGTAAATCTCTCAGTTTCTCATTTTAATGGTTGGGGCGGGGGGGCAGATAGGCAGGGAGATACTGGGGATCCAGGGTACCTGTGGGTGGATCTAGGTTTTCTTCAAGCCAACTGAAGTTTGATCAGTTTGCTGTAATTAAAAAAAACTTTGAAGACTTGGTAGGAATTAATGGGGGATTAAAAACTCCCTTTCACAGTTTTTAGTTTCTCCATTTCAGTTCCTTTGGCAGTTGGAGATTATGTGGTAGAGCAAACTACTTCAGATGCAGTTATTTTACTGTTCCTACTCTTACCATTGAGTGCCAGCTGCCTGGGACCCTCTCAGAGGTGTAACCTTTCAATGGTGGATGATTACAAGGGCTGAATCCTGGGAGTGAGGAAATGAAGAGATTCTGTCCCTTTTCTATAATATGCTTACGGCTGCAATGGCCTTGTGTCTAATTTTACCCTTTTTCTTTTTTTCTTACAGGACTGTTGAAGCCTAGAAACCCCCTCCCCTTCCCCCCTCCCCCTTTTGCCGCTTTGTGGCACCCCCCTCCCTCTACCCTTTCCCACTCTGATAATCTGGCCATGACTAGCAGAAGCACAGCCAGGCCCAATGGGCAGCCCCAGGCCAGCAAAATATGCCAGTTCAAATTGGTCCTGCTGGGGGAATCTGCAGTGGGGAAGTCTAGCCTGGTATTACGTTTTGTCAAAGGGCAGTTCCATGAGTACCAGGAGAGTACCATTGGAGGTGAGTCCTCAGGCAAAGAAGAGGTTTGGTGCTCAGGAAGGCTTTTGAAAGGAGATCTAGTGACCTGATTTTTGAGCTGGCCCTCTTAGCCCCATTCTTTTCCCCAGGAATGGAAACTCTTTATAAAACAAAGTTAAAAAATTGCTATAATACCAAAAAGCAAGTATATATGTGCATCCTCTTGCTTCCTAGAAGAAAGAAAAGTTAGCCTTTGAGCACCAAGAAAAGCACTAACTTTTTTTTATCTCAGCCTGCCTTCCTCTTCCCACTCTATCATCTCAATCCCAGGGAAGTTCAGTTGACTGTCGTGAGCAGGATTGGTTTGGAGCACTGATTCGTAATCAAAGATGTACCTCAGAATCACCTGGGGAGCATTTCTAAAGTATGCATGCTTAGATCCTGCCTTAGATCAGCTGATTAATATGGAGGGAGGGAGGTTGGTGGCAGCAGTGGCACAAGCAGGGAGGTAGGCAGGCATGTTTGTGTTTGGAGACACTCCTAAGGTGATTCTCATGCACATCTCTGGTAAAATAGAGGCTGGAACTAAACACAAAATACAAATGGCATCTGCCTTTCGCACCTTTGCTACCTTCTCCCTGCTACTACCCCAAATAGGGTGCTCATTTAATAAAGGCTCTTTTCTGAGAACTCCCATATTATTCCTTCCCCTCTTTTACTAGTCACCTTGGAAATGTGGTGTTCCTGGATCAGCAGAAGATAATCAGGAAAAGTAACAGACAAAGAATATTATAATGGTGGAACCTGCCATCAAGCTTTAATATTTGCTGATCAGTTCTTGATGTAGCTTTCTTCTGAAGCTTGCATCTCTGTTATTCCCCTATTTTGTTTAGAAGAGGGATGACTCTGGTTAGAGTGCCAGTTCTCTCTGTTCCTCATAGCTTATGATATGTCCCCATTCCTTGGCAAGAGGTACTTCTGGCAGGAAGGACTTAGCTAAGGACAGTCTTAATCTGGCTCCAGGACCTATATATAAGGAGGAGAACACTAAACCTTTTCCTGTAGCTAAGTGGTCTGGGTGGTGACCGGTCTTTGACTGAGAGTGGAGGTATTTTGAAGGGCGGTAAGACATTCCCATGCATCCTCCCACTTACAACTTCTTCCCTTCCATTCTCTCATCCATAGCGGCCTTCCTCACCCAATCCGTTTGTCTAGATGACACAACCGTCAAGTTTGAAATCTGGGACACAGCTGGGCAGGAGCGATACCATAGCTTGGCCCCCATGTACTACAGGGGTGCCCAAGCTGCAATTGTGGTTTATGACATTACTAATCAGGTAAGTGGGCTGAGTCCTTGCCCTTAACAGGAATTAAATTAGTTGCGGGAGAGAAAACAGGTTCTTGAAATAGCAAAATAAGAGTACAAGTTATGCTTCCAAGTACAGAGAAGAGTTACTGAATTATCATAGGTGGTTTCGGAGAGGGAAGGCCTCCTGGAAGAGGTGAGTTTTGACACTGGGTTTTGAAGATGATGGACGCAGGTTGGTAGTCATTCCAGCCCAACCATGTTCTTCCTCATGTTTTCCTAGGAAACCTTTGCCCGAGCGAAGACATGGGTGAAAGAACTCCAACGACAGGCCAGTCCTAGCATTGTTATTGCCCTGGCGGGAAACAAAGCTGACCTGGCCAACAAGCGCATGGTGGAGTATGAAGTAAGACGGCCCATAGAGTCCCTCTCTAACATGCTCCGTTTGTGCCTGGGACCTCTTTCTTCCAAACCTGCCGTTTCTGAAAACCTCATCTGAGGACATTCATCGTCTCATTCCCCTGTTCAGCACCAACTGACATACAGCAACACTGTGACCCTAATGATAGCCAGGAGATTTTAGAGGAGTCAGAAGAAAATTCCAGAGCAGGGGCGGGGTAGGGGAGTACTAGCTGTGGGGGTACCAGTTTGAAACAGGAAGGAGGGAACCACTGAATTTGAGGTCAGGGACTATTCAAGGGTCAGAACCCAAAAGCCCCCAACTAATTTATCCTCTCCTGCCCATAATTAAGATTCCTGACATCTGCTTGTTGGACTGAGTGGTCTAGAGATCTGGCTTCTCCTTGTGAGAGTCACCAAAATGTGGGCCCAGGGCCATCTGGCTCATAGGGGGCAATTAAGGGGAGGGAACCTAGGATACTGTGTAGTTCTGGTGCCTATGGGAGTGGAAAGGCAATGCTTACTCCCACCTTACATTCTGAGCACCAGTACACCCCGCCCCTTGCAGGAGGCCCAGGCGTATGCAGATGACAACAGCTTATTGTTTATGGAGACTTCAGCCAAGACAGCTATGAACGTGAACGATCTCTTCCTGGCAATAGGTAAGGTCAGAGCAGCCTGAGGTCTTCCTGTCTTTTTCCCTGCCTCTAGGCAGGATCATAGCTAACCCAAGTCATATGGATAGGTGGGAGTGTTTCCAGTTGTGAAAACTTCACATATGGAAATACCTTAACTTTCCATTTGTGGCGTATAACCTCTATCACTGGGCTGTAGTTTTAGCCTCCTTGTCTTCAATGTTATTTGCAAAGAGTGAACCCCTTCCCCTCTTCAGAACATTCTTTTAATCTCTCGATTTTCCCTCCCCAACCCAATAGCTTTTTTTTCGGGGGGGGGTGAGTAAAATGTACAATACTTTGTTCCCTTCTCTTTTTATCTCTAGCTAAGAAGTTGCCAAAGAGTGAACCCCAGAATCTGGGGGGTGCAGCAGGCCGAAGCCGGGGTGTGGATCTCCATGAGCAGTCCCAGCAGAACAAGAGCCAGTGTTGTAGCAACTGAGGGGGTGGCTAGCAGCAAACAAGTATGGAGCTAGCACGAGAGCTAAGAAATAACCTCCATCCCTACCCGTCAGCACACAGCCGCTGCGGTAACAGCACACTGAGCCCTGGATCCCAAGGGCTGCCTCCTGACAGCTCCGTCATGGCACTTTTTAACGCTTCAGCAACCAACACCAGGCAGCTGTTGCCACTGGCCTCTTACCCTCTACTCTGGGGCTTGGGGGTCAGATCCCCCTGGGACTTACCTTCCAAAACAAACTTTCTTCACTTTGTATTACAGGTGCAAGACAGTGACCTACTTATCTTTCCTCCTCTTCCCCAGCGTTCCTCCCCATTTTTTCAGAAAACACTTATGTCTCTTGTGCTTTCTACCTGTCTGCTTTTGGTCATTCCCTGTTCTTGATCCCCTTTTTCTCCTCTCCCCAGGATGGAGAAGGTGGTGAACCCAGGAAGTGAAGAAGGAGGTTTCCAGTTCAGTCACATTAAGGGCCCTGGGGGAGAGTAAGGCTCACAGCAGGAGGTTGTAAGGAAACATTTCCTTTTTGTTTGTATTTGTTTGGAGTTTCTTATATTTGAAAACGCTGCAGTATCCATGAGTTGGCCTTGTGGAGGGTGTTCCTAGCAAGATCTGAGAATGGGAAGGCAAGCTGTCTGGCACCAGGTGGGAGTGGTGTTGAGTTAGCCAACTGGGTGGAGGCAGAGGAGGTGGAGGTGCAGTGTCTACAGTGGCTCTGCATCGCCCCAAGGCCTGGTTTCCCTTCACCCAGGCTCTTAGGTAGCTTCTCCCCCATGGTGGGGATTGGAGCCCAGGGTCCTCCAAAGAATCTTCACTGACTGCCTGCATCTTTGGCTCTGCCGTGATCTGATTGGAGGAGGGACCAGTTTCTGATACCTGTCCTCTGATTTATACATATGCATTTTTTTCTCTGGCCTTTAAATGGGCCCTAGTCACCATATCCCCCTGCAGTTTGCACTTTAATTGATGGTATTTCAGTTGGGATACTTGTTTTATGGGGGTTTTGATATCCACCCTCCCACCTTCTTTTTAATTAAATGGAATCCAAGTATATATGAAGTTCTAGGAGGGCTGGAGAGAACAGTGCTCAAGCCCAGTCTTCACTGCTGGCTTCCTCCAACTCTGATTCTTAACCTATATTCTAGCCAGCCTAGTTCTTAAGTGGAGGTTTGCCTTTCCTGGAGAATTAACTGAGCAACTGAGGAGTAGACTCAGGATAGCATAGTCCAGGGTAGGAGAGTGAAGAGGGGCCGGGTAAGAGGGAGGAGTTTTCTCTCTTTTTCCAGGGTTCACCTTCAATTTGATATGCATTACCATGTCTTTTCTACTTCCCTGTAAATAGGTGTGATCTTTATTCCCACTGTACAGTCTGTTCTATTCTCCGCTTCCCATCAGGCCCTAGTTCTTCTCTCCTTTGTTAATGTCTTCAGTTTCGTCCCTCCATCCCTATCCTGTCCCGACCCCCCAGGCATCCTTGTCCCACTAGGGGCTCGTACCACAGAGGCCTGCTTGTGGCCTCCTTACGTCCTACCACCTGTTCCTGTGGACAGGGAATAACTAGCACGGAAAGGTACCTCACAACTGTCTCACACCATCAGAGGACTTTGGTCCTTTCTAGATCCCTAGCCTCTCTTCATAGCTCTCATCAGGTGTTTCTAGGATATCTGTGGGAAGCCATCAAGGCAAGAGAGAACTCTAGACTCCTTGTTTTTCCAGCCTGGAATTTTGGGAAGATTTGAGAAAGAAAGATAGGAATGCCATAGTGACCGAGGATTGGATCATCTGCCCAGACTGCCTTCTGTCCCAGAGAAGCTGAGAAATCCATGAAGCTGAGATTTTGAAGAACCAGCTTAGGTTCTTCCACTTAGGCCTCAATTCCCCTCCTTTTCCCGGGGCAGCCTTAGTTCCCATGGCCCTGAAACATGTATTTTCCCAGCACCCACTAGCCCCCCAAAGCACCCAGTGCATCGTTTTCACAAGTGGAGAAACTAGGATGGCTTTCTAAGTTTCTTAGCAATGAAGTTCGTTCTCTGTGCAGCTTTCCCTACGGAGCAGGAGAGAAGATGTTTCATGGCCTTGGGGCTGGGAAACCATTTCCCCTGGCTTCTTATCCCCTCCCTTCTGCCCTCCCCCACTTACCCTTAGGAACAGGATTGGCCTTAGCTTCTGGGCCTGTCTGCTGCCTTCCCTCTACTTCCTACAAGTTCTACTTTCCTTTGAGCTCTCCTGGGGTTGGGGATCTTAGGTTTTTATTTCCCAGCTCTTCATTTTTCCTTCTGTTCAGTTTTTTTTTTTTTTTTTTAAAGGGAGGTATCTTTCCTTTTTTTTGCTTCTAAAAAAGCATTTGCCTTTTTCCCCCCTTTGTCCCTCTCCTAACATAACAATCGTGGTAACAGAATGCAACTGCTGATTTACCAATGTATTTAATGTAAGTAAAAAAGGGAAAAAAAAAAAAAAGTGTATTGAAGTGTTGCTTCTTTTTTCTTGTTTGCTATTTGTCCGTCTGATGCTAGAGATTTGGAAGAAAGGGCACCAAATAATGTTTTATTGAATCAGAAACACACCCTCCCCTCCATAGAAAAATCTAATTTTGAAAGTAGCCCTTTTATTGCTATTTAATCATCCCTATTCGAAGGTTACTCAAGGGTTCCCCAGATCTGATCCTAGCTCTTTTTCGGTGTTCTCAACACAAAGCGTATGTGTGTGAGTGTGGTTGTGTGGGTGTGGTGTATGGTCTGTGGGCTTCTGGGCAATCAGTGAGATTGGGTGGGGGGTGACTTGTGAATCCTTTGAAATAATATGCAAAAATTTATGTGTATTTTTCTAAGGAGAGAGTCCTTGGGGCTTTATTAGTTTCTCAGAGAAGACTTAAGGACTTAAGGAAGACTTAAAGAAGGTTAAAAATCACTAGATTAGCTTTTTTAACATGCAGCTTCCATCCCAACAGAAAAATTTCCCCTGGGTCTGCTCTTGTCTCCTACGGTACTTGAAGCCCTTCTGTCCATCACAGTCTTAAGTAGAGGGAAAAAAAGAATGAAACAGAAAAGATTGAGTATAAGTGCAGAGGGAGTTTTAAATCCCAAAGAATCTAAAGGAGGAAGGCAGGAAAGGGGACTGGTGCCAGACAGACCTGGCATTCTAGGCCTGTCTCTGCCAACTTAACAGCTGTGGCCTTGATTAAGTTACTTAGCTGTTCTCTCCTCCACATCTGTAAAATAAAAGTTGAGATTTAAAGGCCATGATGTAAAGCATGTGACACACTATAGGTGACACTTGTTATTGGGGAGAGGTCTTATGCTGTGGCTTCAGATAGTCTGTAACTGACTTTTCTGTATCCTTCTTGGCTGACATCATAGGACTGAGCTTATTTTTAAGACTGGTAGGAATAGGCCAGGCCTCTCATAGATTTCTAAGCTAAGTTCCATTTCCAAAAATTTTAGTGTCAAACTCTGCTGTCAATTCCCCTTTCCTTCAGTCTCTTAGTATTCCCAGTAGGGTTCTTGATTCTTTGTAAAAGTTCTAGTTCAGTTTAAAAGAGCAGAAAAACCAAACTCTTTGCTGAGTGCATTCTGCCTCATAGAGACCCTATAGGGCAGAAGAGAACTGCCCCACAGAGTTTCCAAGGCCTTCTTTACAGAAGCAGCCCTGGTGGTATGCAGTGGTTAAGCACACAGCTGCTAACTGAAAGGTCAGCAGTTCAAACCCACCAGCTGCTTGACTGGACAGCAATGGGTTTGATTTGGTAATCTTTCTCCCACAGAGCGGCTGGTGGGTTCCAACCGCAGACTTTTTGGTTAGCAGCCAAGTGCTTTAACTACTGCACCACTAGGGCTCCTTAAAAGAGTGGAAAACCAAAACCAAACCCATTGCCATCAAGTCAGTTCTGACTTATAGTGACCCTATAGGACAGAGTGGCTGGTGGATTCGACGTTTCTTAACCACTAGCCACCAAGGATCCTAAGTGGGCAGAAAGGGAGGGGAAATGATCTTCCAAAATTAAAGGTGAAGATCTTCAACAAATTAAGGTTGTAGCTCGACCCGGTGATCTCTAGAGGGCAGTGTATGGATACATTTGCCCCAGCTTCAGGGACAAGGTTTGCTGGTTAGAAGGTGCACAGCCAGACCGTCAGTGACAAAATAACGTTTTCAGTCTGCACCAAATGATAAAAAGGGTAATGGCAAATATATTCTGTCGGCCTTGACTCTTAAACTATAAGAGATTATAACCTTCCCACTTTGGGGTGTTAAAGTGCCATTGCTCTTGTTAAAAGACGATGGATTTTTTAAAATTTGCTTTACTAATCAAAATTAAAAGATGTTTATTCAGTGTTGTTGGTTCCATAATTTGAGAAGAAATTCGGCTAGTCCAAGGAATCCCGAAGTTTTGGAAACTTAGGTTTTATTTCTGCTCTCATTCCTGGACATAAGAGAATTGAGCGCTTGACCTTGTTTTTCCTAAGAGACAAACGGGGCTGTTGAAATTGCCACAGGTCAAAACAGCTCACCGCCCGAAGAAACCCGGCTGGATTCCCGAGGCCTCCTCCAGTGAACGCAGCTTGTGCCTTTCCACCCCTAGTCACGGGGGTGATGCGAGGGCGTCTCCACGTCTCCCACCTCTCTGCTCTTGAGAGTCCTTGTCACCTTCCACTGTCCGGGTCCAGACATCAGTGAGGGCCCCATTCCTCGCCCACCGGGGCTGTAACCGACTCTGAAACCAGACGGCTGTCCAGCCAGGGTGGGAGAAAAAAAATCGGCCAGCTCCAGTGCCACGTGGCGCCCCGCCTCCCCAGCATTTAGTAGGCGGGTACAGCAGCTCTCTGACCAGAGTGGTCCTTTAATTGAGCTTTTCCGTACGTCACAGCGTGGCCCCACCCCTTCGTCAGCGAGCTCCCGGGGTCTAGTGGGTAAGACAGTCACCGTGCGGAGCCGAGCCGGGTAAGAGGGTTGGGACCAGGAGAGGAGGGAGGAGAGGGTGGTAACCCGGCGGCGGCGCGCGCCATCGGTGTTGGCACCCAGGAATGCCCTGAGCTCCAAAGACGGCAAAATTGCCAGTACCTACCTCCACTACCCCTGCCCAGGTGCTTGCGGGGGCGCAGGGTGTTGCTGCAAGACTTCTTTGCCAGCTGCTGGGCAAGGGGCGAGGGGCCAGGTATTTGTCCGCCGATGCTGGACATATCCTCCCCGCTAAGGTGCCCCTGGAGAGAGAGGGGCCACCATCCACACAGGAGATGGCACCTCTTTTGCAGCAAAAGGCTGCTCCTTCGAAACCGGGGACACTGGGCTGACCGAGTTCACCTTTGAGTCGGCCTTACCGGCCTGTTGGGGTTGAGGGCAGGCAAGAGAGTGAGTCCCATGCTCGCCATCTCCCTAGCAGTTCCTCTGTCCCATCCTGCCCCGCCGCCCCATGTTGATCTCCAGCGTCTTGCTTTGGTCAGCAATTGGGACACTTCTCACCCCTCCCCACTCTGGCCTCCTGGGGTCATTGATCTGCAGGGCTGTGAAGAGGAAACTGCAGGGCAGAGAGCAGAGAGCAGAGAAATTGCTTCTTCCTTCCCCAGCCCATCCCTTGATACCCTGACAATTAACCCACCCATTTGCTGAGCTCACTAGAATGGCATCTGCAGGGTAGAGGTGGAGACCCTGGATCGCAATCCAGTTCCCAGCTGGGTTTTTTTTTTTTTTTTTAGGATGGGTGGAGGTAGGGTAACCAGGCTCAAAGATCTTCAAATATACTGTCATCATCTTGTTTAATCAACACAGCAGATAGGTCTGTCCTTATTTTATAGATGAGGACAGAAGTTCAGAGAGGTTTGGTAGCTTGCCCAGGGGACAAGGCTGGTTAATGGCATGGTTAGGTTTCACAAACCGAAGGCAGTCTGGGCTTTTTTACTCCATTAGGCTGCCACTACCTTTTTCACCCCTTTTGTCCCTGTTTATGTCAGATTACCCCTCAGTTGTCCTCTTCTGACTTCAAAAATAATAATCTGGACAGTAGACATTTGGCTTCTGCCCTTTTTAGGCCCTTGGCCCTGAGCATTGTTCTCTGTAGTGGACAAAGTAGAGAGTGGAGGATGGGAGATAAGTGATTGTAGAAGACTCCCTTTCCCCATTCCCTTCTTCCATTCTGTCAGCACAGTCTTTGTCTCTGAAGTGCTCTGAGTTTTCTCTAAGGGCTCATTGGCCCAAGAAGCTCTTAGGTGACCTTCTTTGTGTGTTTTCTCTACCCATTCCCTCCCAGAACTCTCCCCATTTTGATTCTGGCATCTTCCTCCTACCGGTCTGTCACAATGCTGCTGCTACTGCACAGAGCTATGGTCCCGGGGCTCCAACAGGCCTCCAGGTAAGCAATCTCATCCCACAACTGGCCTCCTAGCCCATATCTCCCACACCCGGTATCTTTATGATAGCTTATCTGCTGGGGGAAAATTTATTGCTTTTACAGATATGCAGGTGGCAAGGGAGGAAAGGGAAAGTCATTTGTTCCACTCATCCCTGGAGAAACTAAGTCCCAGCTGAAGGAACCAGTGGCCAATCAGGAGAGACAGACCCCAGGTCTTCTCTGGCCCTTTCCTATGGTCAGGGGAAGTATGCTACTAAGAAGACCTCTCTCTTTCCTAGACTCAGGTCAACCTTGAGGCTGTGCATTCGGGCCTGCTCTACAGATGATTCATTTCAGCCCCAGCACCCCAGCCGCACCTTCTCTGATGATAACTCTGCCAGAAGGGGCTGGGGGGTCATGGGAACCCTGCTGGGCCTTGGTGCAGTGTTAGCCTATCACGAATGTCGGTGCAGGGTAAGTGGGGAAGGGGCTTCATTGTCAGAACAAAGGGGTCCTAGCGAATTCTCCAGGTAACTAAGGCTGTGATGGAATCACAGTTCCTTGTGGCCCAGACTTGTGGGTTGGGTCAGGGTGAGCTAGGGTGATTTCTTAATATTCTGTTTCCTTCTGCCTCACCTCTCTGGCCTGCAGGCTGATCAGGAGTCACCACGCGTGTACACGAGGGAGGAAGTAAGCTCCCACTGCAGCCCTAAAACTGGGATCTGGGTGACTTTTGGCCATGAGGTCTTTGACGTCACAGAATTTGTGGACCTACACCCAGGGGGGCCATCAAAGCTGATGCTAGCAGCTGGGGGTCCCCTAGAGCCTTTCTGGGCCCTCTATGCCGTTCACAACCAGCCCAATGTGCGTGAGATACTGGCTCAGTACAAGATCGGGGAACTGAACCCCGAAGATAAGGCGCCTCCAACCTTGGAGAACTCTGACCCTTATGCTGGTGATCCTCCACGTCACCCGGCCCTGAAAGTCAATAGCCAGCGCCCCTTTAATGCAGAGCCCCACCCTGAGCTGCTGACAGAAAACTACATCACACCCAATTCTCTCTTCTTTACTCGGAACCATCTGCCTGTACCCAACCTGGACCCAGACACCTACCGCTTGCATGTAGTAGGGCCACCTGGGGGTCAGTCACTGTCCCTGTCCTTGGATGACTTGCGCCAGTTCTCCAAGCACGAGGTCACAGTCACTGTGCAGTGTGCCGGCAACCGGCGTTCTGAGATGACTAAGGTCAAAGAAGTAAAAGGTCTGGAGTGGACGACAGGGGCTATAAGCACTGCACACTGGGCTGGGGCGCGGCTCTGTGATGTGTTAGCCCAGGCTGGCCACCACCTTTCTGAAACTGAGGCCCATGTTTGCTTTGAGGGGCTGGACTCAGACCCCACTGGAAGTGCCTATGGAGCATCCATCCCTCTGGCTCGGGCCTTGGACCCTGAAGCTGAGGTCCTGCTGGCATATGAGATGAATGGGCAGCCTCTGCCTCGAGACCACGGCTTCCCTGTGCGTGTGGTGGTTCCTGGTGTGGTAGGTGCCCGCCATGTGAAGTGGCTGGGCAAAGTGAGTGTGGAGCCAGAGGAAAGTTATAGCCACTGGCAGCGGCGAGATTACAAGGGCTTCTCTCCATCTGTAGACTGGGACTCTGTAGATTTTGATTTGGCTCCAGCGATTCAGGAGCTTCCTATCCAGTCGGCCATCACACAGCCCCGGGATGGGGAGACGGTAGAGTCCGGGGAGGTGACTGTGAAGGGTTACGCATGGAGCGGTGGTGGCAGGGCTGTAGTCCGGGTGGATGTGTCTCTGGATGGTGGCCTAACCTGGCAAGTGGCTGAGCTGGATGGAGAGGTACAGCGCCCCCGGAAAGCCTGGGCCTGGCGGCTATGGCAGTTGCAAGCCCCTGTGCCTGCTGGGCAAAAGGAATTAAACATTGTTTGTAAGGCTGTGGATGACAGCTACAATGTACAGCCAGACACCGTTGCCCCAATCTGGAACCTGCGAGGCGTGCTCAGTAATGCCTGGCACCGGGTCCACGTTCATGTCGCCCCATGAGAACATATGGAACGGAGCCATTTACACCCCCAGAACCACCTTCTCAACCCCTTTCTACACACACCTATCCCTTGGCTGTCATTGCCACAGGAAAACCTTTCTCTCTTTCTCTCCACTTCTTGGATCACAATCCTATACTAAGCCTTCCTGAGTTATAGACAGGTACATTCCACCTTGGCATGCTCCCTGCATTGACACTATTACATATCCCTCCTTGCTTCTCACCTTGTGCCAGGAGGTGAGAGCTGTTGGAAGAAGGAGCTAGAAGTGCGAAAAGTTAAGTCTGGAGATAAACACTATTTTCTCTCCCTAGTCAGTAATACTTCTAAAGCCTATCACCACTGAGGCCTTATTTTGTTTTTCTTCTTGGCTGCTTCTGAGAATGTGTGTATGTGTAAGAAAAGTGTATATACTACTTTCTCCTGCCTCTCTAGGTTGCCAGGGGGCTGACTGTGAGGAGAGAGGGGTGCAGCCCTCTTCCTTTATAGTGCTACATTAATAAAGTGTCCGTTTAAGATTATGACTCCGGAGCCTCCTGGGGCTGGGGAGTGAGCGTGTTGCACAAGGGAGGCTGCAACTGTACTGGGATGTGTAGTGAGACTAGTTCAAAATGAAACAAAAAGAGTGGGAGGAGGGGGGAAAAGAAGCAGGTGCAGGGAAGTCAAGGAGTGGGGCTTCCTTCTCTGAGGTCTGTCAGAATCTGCTGCGCCTCCTAGGTGACTGACCTCAATATACCCCCGAAGAAGAGGAGATAACAAAACATTTGGTACCCTCAATCACCCCTCCCCGCAATTCCTACGCACTTGAAGAAAAGGCAAAGAATGTTAAGAGGTTAAAATCAATATTGTCTTAGGAGAGGCGGGGTCAAAACTTGGCACCAGGGCAGACGTGCCAGGGCAGGTGGGGCGTCCTATGCGCGCCTAGTTTGCAAATTAGATGCGGAAGCAGTCGGCGGGATACCCGCTGCTAGCGACAGCGCTTTTCGGGCTTGAATTTTTCGGCGCTCGGCTGCTTTCCCCTGGCTCCTGTCCCTTCTTTCCCCAGCAGTCTCCCCGGCTTGGGGGCACTCGGTGTTCAGCCTCGCCGCCTGTCGCCTGGCAGTGGGACCGGAAGTTGTTCGGGAAAGGGGGAGACGACTGGAATGGGGGGGGCTCGTGGCGGGGGGCCTGTCCCTCCTCAGGTAAAGTCGCTGATGGAGATGGAGCCGCCGCCGCCGCTGAGCGCTCGGGTCCTGGCTCCGGCCTGTCTGCCGCCGCCTCAGTGACCCCACTCCCCCCGCACTGGGCCGCCCGGGCCAGAGTGGGGGACCTCCGCCGCCCTGCCCCCCTCTTCCCCAACACCATCCCCTTTCCCCCACCTGCCCGCCACAGCCTGCGCGCGCGCGGAGCAGTCTCAGGTGAGTAAGAGGCGGGGCTTGGACGAAGCGTAAGGGGCGGGGCATCGGCGGCGGGGGCGGGGCGTGTAAAGAGGGGAGACGTGGGCGGGGAGAGGGTCGCAGGGAGTGGGCTGGGGCCGGAGGAAAGGAATCGGTGGGGGGGCGTGGGGAGAAGAAGGGGGGTTGCCGCGAGTCCCCAGGACTGAAGGGAAGTAGCAAGGAGCTTGGTGCGGGGGGTGGGTGGGGGTCCTAAAAAGGCGGGAGATGGTTCAGGGCAGAGGACTGAGTACAAGCAGGGGGCTGGCGTGTGCAAGGCACCTTCGTAAGGTACAGCTGGAGAGCAGTGGCACAGGGAGGAAACAAGCAGAGAGGGAGCCCTGGGCCAAAAACAAGGGACTAGGAGTTTGGTTGAGAAGGTTGGAGAGAAAGACATAGGCCTAGGTAGGAAAGTCTGGGAGGGAATTAGCAGAGAGGGAGAATCACGTAGTAGAGAAGAAACTTAGGGTGGAGTGAAAAGAGCTGTCTGGAGTACAGTGTATGGTGAGAAGTCTAGGGAACCTGGAACACAAGGCTGGAAAGGAAAAGATTCACTGAATATGAGCTCTAAGAAAGAAATGTAACAGGCTCTTAAAACATCAGTGGTGGGCTTGGTTTGTCCCTAACTCAGTAACATGATCTCCCAGCTATAGGCCTTCATCATCATGGCCAAGCAGACGACCACTGAGGCCTGGTTGTCTCCGCTTACTGATACTTGCTCACTGTGCCCTGGGTGAAGGTACATGTTCATATCCTTAGGAATCATGAAAAATAGATGTCTTACTACCTAGAATATTTCCACTTAAGATAATCAGATTCTAAGAATAAGGCCATATAAAAGGCCAAATCAGACAGTAGTTGAGAGTTTAGCTTCTTGTTTGGTAGGGGTGTGTGAGATACCTAGCCTCCCTGTGGGCCTGCGAATAGGTCAGTGAATCCTGCTTTGTGATATGTGGGGACTTCAGCCTTCCCCATTAAGACCAGAAAAACCAGACAACCCTGTGGGTCATAAGAAGAGTCAGAAGAATGGCTCCTGAGATAAAAACAGAGTCTGAGAAGAAGAAAATAGTCGTTACCAGGGGGAAGCAGAAGTTTCACTGGAGCTTCTGGGGTGGGCCTCAGGGTGGTGGAAGCTGTGCTCAACTTGGCAGATTCAGAAATACAGTTTACCCTAGTCGATACCTGTTGATGTCTCCAGCACCAAGAAAGTCTTTCGTGCCCGTTGAGTACAGTTCAGTTGTAGCTTCTGGGTAATCTCATTCCTCTCCGTAGGATAAGGGGGAAGGCTCAGATATAAGTCCTGAATTTTTTCCAGTGAAAATACAACTGAAAGTTTCCTCTTAGTTTGAAATCTGCAGCTTGTACTTCCCAGCATGGGAAGAACACTACTCCACCTTTTACCCTAGCCCTCCCAACAGCCACAAAGGAATTATTTTCTCCCAAACTGGGAGAAAATCCTATCCCTTTCCAGTAACACAAAATAGCCAAGAAAAAAATAAAGGTAAGTTATTGTTGGGTAGGTATTACTAGCCTCATTTTACTTTGTTGAAACGAATAAGAGCATGGGACCTTGTGGGCGTGGACAATGCCAGAGACAAAGGGACTCCCTTTCTTTACTGGTCTCTTAACCCTGCTAGAGAAGGCTCTGAATTCCAGACTGGATTTGATTTGCCTCCTCTTTTCAGAAGAGTTGCTGATTTGTATTGGAAACAGAGCCTTTCAAGGTTTAGCAGAGGAAAGATTTAAGAAAGGGTAGTGCTGATATGAATGGCCTGGTCCCCTTGGGTAGCATCCATCTTGTAGGCTCTGCTGGAATACACATACTAGAGGTAGTCCTTGAGGCAAGGAGCCCTGTTTCTACCTTTGAGAGACTTGAAGAGTGTCTAGTTTGGCATTTTCTTCAGGCCTATAATCCCTGAAAAGAGAATGGAAGGAAGAGGATTGTTTCTTCTCCCATCCATAAATCTCATGTTTCCAGCCGAAGGATTTAAGTCACCAAGATGCAGACCCCAAACTGTTAATTTCACACCCAAGAAAGGAAGCAAGCAAGGTGGCCCCAAACGTTCCAGCTGGGGCAAGATTTAATTTTGTGTTCCAGTGGAAAGAACCCTGGACTGGTAACCCAGGTTCTACTTGTCCTATTTCTGTTCCTAACCAGGTAGGTGACTCTAGGCTTAGTTTCTTCTTCTGTTAAAAAAAAAAAAAAAATGTTGGAGATCATCTCTCAACTCCATTCCCGCTCCAAGATCCCCTAGGTCCTGGAGCACCCCTGCCCCAGGTCGTCCGCATGAAAAAAAGAGGCTTACCAAATTTGATCATCAGAGCAAGATTTTTTGTTAGCTGAGGAGTCTGGAAACATCTTTCTGGCCCAAACAATTGTGAGCTCTATTGATCAGCATGCACAAGGGACTTATGGTGAGGACTGCCACCAAAGGCAATTGTTTCTCTCTCTTCTACATTTTTGCCACACTGTCCCAGTCAGAATAGTTCATTCTGATTTCCATGTAATGTCAAACTTCACTTGAGAGAGCTAACCCTGTTTTGGACATCTTTGAATTTCAGACTGAGATTATTATAAAACTCAAATTGAACTCCCCTGCTCCACTTTGCCCACCTCTGCCCAAACATACAACTGAACAGCAGTAACTTTGTGAGGCCCTTCTATAAACACAGGGCTTGTGTGCTCAGGGGTATACCCCAGAAACCCAAAAAGTATTATCTCGTGTGCATCACTCAGTGACTTAAAGAGGGTTTAACTTGGTCCTTTCCTGAGTTCCATAAATCCTGAAGTGAGGCATAGGTCAGGAAGGATTGTCTCTCTTCCCACTTATAAGCCTTAGCCTTCTCTCTCTTCCACAGTCTGCATGGGGAGGACAGGAAAGCACAAAGGACAAGAGAAAAGATGCATCCATCTGAGATCTAAAAGGAGACATGGATCCTTGCCACTCTTTCCACCTCCACCCGCTCTCCCCGACAACATTCTCCTCACTACTCTGAGTGTGTTTTAAATTCCAACTCTGGAGTGTCACTGGATCAAACAGGATTCTTTGAAGGATTTGAAGAGCTTTAATTACTTGTGATGTCCATCTTATTCAGGCTTTCAGAGCCACTACACAGAGAAAGCTTAACTTTCTGTCATTTTTTTGTCACCAATAGAGCTGTGGGAATGTTTTTGTGGAGATGGGGGGGTGGGGGGGTGGGTAGTAGCTGATGCCTGACCTGCTCTTGGAAATCAGACCCTGGATTGGTTCTCATCCACTGCCAGTCAGAGAGTTTGGTGGGAAATCTGGAAGGGATGCCCATTCCTGTTCATATGCGTGATACTGTGTTTGTGGGAAAAAGCCAGGACCATGGAGGACACTTGTTAGGGGGCCAAGTAGATTCAGAAGAACAGAGAAGAAAATCTTTGTCTCCAGAGGTTACCATGGCCAATATTCCCTCCCTCCTCACAGAGAGATTTCTTTTTAATTTGGGAGACTGGCTGTTTCTGGTTGTTTTGTATTTACTCGCAGAGCAGAATTTACAGTGCGTATGTGCTTACCTCCATCACTGAATGACATTTATGTTTTTGTAAATCCACTTTCCTTCCAAGATCTTTGAGCCAAACCTGTCTTGTGTAACTAACTTCTCTCTCCTTGTACACCTAAACCCTTTGGTGTTTCTCTCCAACTGGCACTGCCTAATTTGACCCAGTTTCTCTAAAGAGACACTAAGATCTAACTGCCTGGTTATGGACAGGGGTGCTTTGGGAGGAGGGGAATGGGAAGGTTGGGAGAGATGCACCACCTGGAGACTTGAATGAGAGTGGAGTACTTCTACTGATTTGCTCCTGGCTCTCAGAATGCCAGGATTGGGAACAGTAGA